TATAATCTTCTGAATATAGGAATAATTTATGTTTTTGTTACCTTAGAATGAGCGGCCACTGTAGTTTCTCCTTTTGGCTTGGAAGGGGAGGGTGAAGCAAGGGAGTTGCACCACTAGATGCCACTAAATCAGTCAATGGAGCAGCCGTTGATATGAAATACTGTAGTAGGGTAAACACAGGTGTTACCAGAGATGCTAATTAAGGCTCCATTCAAACACAGTATGGAAAAGCTCTGCTGCACTAAATGGAATGGAGCCTTTGTTAGTAACACCTGTATTTACTCTAATATTTTATGTCTACAGTCAAGAAAAACTCCTGGGGAAGGAAAAAAAAAAAAAGAGTGGGAACCATGGATTACGTTATATAAATCTTTCCTGTTTGGCCAAGAATGAATCGGCCATCCGGGAGTCTTTTCCTGCCCCGGTTTTCCACCCAGATTTACTGTAACACATGAAATCATCTGATGCTGTTTGGAGAGGAGCAGGAATAGTTCATTTTAATTTCTTGGGTGTGGAACAGCTGCTTCGAGCCTCTCGCTTTGTCAAGGTTTGTGATGATGTATGACCATAAATGTTCTTCCTCTCACTGTCTTCCTGTCCTCCTCAGGTACCAGATGGCAGCAGAGGAAGGCAACGCAGACAAGAAGAAAACGGTAGGAAACAAAATATGCTGTCACATTGTAAAATTCCTGTATTCAGTAAAATAACATTACAACTGTAAAATGTGCTGAAGATATCAAACGATCTTATTGTGCACAATCAGTCCCTCTGGATTTTTTTGGGGGGATTGTTGCAACTTAAATGATTTCAAAGCAGCTCTTCTAAGAAATTGTGATGCATGTTGTGATGTTTTGAGCTATTTTTGACAGTTTACATTGTGTGAGAAAGTGAAAATTGCAAAAAATGGTTACAATTTCTATCATATAATTCAATAAAAATGTTCCTGTGAGAATAAAATCTGTGTTTGGTGACGTATAGCTCAACGGGGGACTGCTGTGATTGGTGAAACTCACAGGAAACTACAATGATTGATCAAATTTGGAAAAAGTTGGAGCTAAGTTTGCAGTAACAGGTTTCCCACACGTCCTGGAAAACCTGGAAACTTGGAGACTAGTTTTCCAGTCATGGAAATGCCTTGAAGTTTTTAATTATTGTGTTCATTGTACAGTTTATCAGTGGTTCTCTGCTGTTTTTGTTGACTATAATATGAAATATACATAAAATATGTCCCTTTACTCAATGACATAAAAGGTTGGCAATCACTATATAGACGTATAAAGTAACTTAAAATGGAAATACTGCACAGAGCCGCTATGCAACACATTTAAATGATACATTTAATAGACATTAATCTTAAATTGAGACATCTGTTGCTCAACAGCGAGCGGCGTCTGCACTCTGCAGCAGAAGTAGGCGAGCCACGTTAGCGTGTGCTGTCATGCAGCAGCGGTAACAAGACGCCTCCGTTCCCACCTGATCTGTGTGGGAGGGCTTGTTGTCTGTGTGGGGACGGAGCTCAGCAGGGAGGGTGCAGGGCTCACACAGCTTCCTTACACCCTCAGGTAGGTGTGCTGCTCTTCTTTTTGCTCCACTTCTTGGGGTTGAATTTAATGGATTTTAAAGGAAATTTTAAAAAAGGCTTTTGGTGCATTCAGTGAACATTCCTCAGATTTTATAGTTCTTTTGTTTTAAGGTGTTGAACACTCCCTTTGTTTTCTTTTTGTAACACTACTTAGTTATTGTTTCTGCGTCCCTGAATGCAGGAATGTTTTATGGACAATAGTGCTGCAGAATATGGTTACTGTGATTATTTTGATGATATTGCAATTATGATATAATTCACGTTAGTGTGACAATGATCATTAATGCTTCAGTTTTCATTTTCACTGAGAACTACTGAAATCATGATGTCTGGTCTGTATTGCTAAAGAAACATGTTTTCTTACATCTGGAGGACAAGATTTGTTGACCAGGGTGTCTCTGCATGTTGTCATATTCTGATTTTGAGAATATTTTGATTAATTGTTTGTTACGTTGGTAATAGCATTCACTCACCGCCTTGGTGCAACTATTGGATATTTTATCTTGAGATTTTGTACTTTCACCGCCCCCAGATGATGAATCTGACTGGCAGTCCCTTGCCTTCTCTCTCTAGCGCCACCATGTGGTTGACGTTAGTGATTTTGGGTAAAATATCTCGACAACTATTGTTTGGATGAGTTTTAATAACTTCGCTGTAAAACCTGACACTCATACAATGTGTGCAGTATTTTATTTATGATTCCAGTTTGTTCCATTGACTCAAGTTGACTTTATATTGTTATAAAAACAGTTTAGGATTATTCAAGTTTTGTTTTAAGGTTTATTAACCATCATATGTCCAACAATAAAAAAACTGGCTACCATTTTGATAATGAATTAATAATAAATTGTCTGACAGTTAATGTAGTAATTTGCTTCAGTGAAAGAAAACTGAGTAAATTCAACTTAAGTGGTAACATTTGTATAAAGATGCATTTAAATGACTTTATTCAGATAAATTCTGTTCGCACATTTAAAATAAGTTTGGAGAAACGCTGCATATGAGTTTAACTTTGATTTAACTGAAAGGAATTAGTACAATTGACTTAATTTACTTACTCAACTCAAATCAAATATATTTCATGCTGAAATTGTTTGAGTTAAGTTTTTGGTGACTTTTGATCCGTTAAAATTCTTATATTTTGATTTATAACCTGTAAAGCTAACATCCTTCCCATGAGCCTTAGCTGTACTTTCTGTACTTTGTCGCTGTATGGCTGCGTCTTTCTTCTGGTTACATCTTTCTTCTTTTCTGTAAATTTAATCCATGTTGTGCAGCATTTTTTCCGTCGTCCTTTTCAGTAAAAGAAGTAAAGAGAGAAGGAGACAGGAAAGATAGTTAAAGGTCTTACTGTTGAATCTAATCTCTAAAACAAACCTCAGATGAAGAGAATCATCAAGAAGGTTTATCAGATTATTATTTATCCACGTTTAAAGTTGGTGTAAAGTTTTCCAGCTCTCTTCTTTTACCTTTTTTCTCATTTCCTGGACTTATTTTCCTTTTTTTTTTTTTTCTCCCCCCCTCACTGACTCTGTTTCTGATTTTCTCTCCCTCCACGCCCCTCACCCCTCGCCTCCCCTTCACTCCCTCTCTCTGTTTCCTACACTCCTTCCTTCCCTCTGTGTTGTAGGGGGGGTGGGCTAGTTACTTCATGCTGCTCTGATCACTTCTCAAGACTCTCACATCTGGGACAGCTTATAGCAGACACACACGCACACTTAAACTCACAAACGCCAACTGGACAGCCGGGTCTTCAGCCGCTCTCTCTCAGGTTTTTAAAACTCTTTACTTTGGCACTTTTTTCCAGCTGTGTCGCTTTCTGTTCTGTATCCAGCAGATCCAGGTTCAGACTGTAGACGTGCATGCTGAGCGGCTCTTTGTCTCTTTCTTTTTTTTTGGTTGGTGCAGTTGTTTCGTCACTTTATCTATCTTTTTTTTTTTTTCTCCTTCACACGTAGCTGAAAGTGTGAAGTGCTTGCATGAACTGTTAACATGTAGTTTAACGTGTGTGAGAGTTTTTAGTTTCATTCAGCAGTTGGAGGATCAGGTGGGTCCAACATTCAATTCATTGAACAAACTAAAAACAGATTCAGAGAACAGCTCGCATCCCTCCTTTAAGAAATAGTGAGTCATCTTGTTTAAAGTGTTGATGTGACTGTTTGTGTGGCAGTTTATCTCCTCTGCCTGCTCACTGCTCTGTTTTAAAGACATCCACAGTACGGCTGCAGGATACGGTTCAAAACATCATATTGTGATTATTTTGATGGATATTGTGAATCATAATCAGTGGGAATGATGATTTTTGTACCATAAATTTTAGTTTTCACTGAAAAAAACAAAACACATTTTCTTACATCTGGGGAACAAGATTTGTAGGCCAGGACACATCTGCAGGACTACAGTACTTCTTTATAATGCTGTTTGGACCTTATTGCTGCTTTCTAATGAGAGACTGTGGAAGGTGGATCACGATTTTACAGTAATATAGGAAGGTTAACTGAATATCTCGGATTTTAACATTGTCCTGATCCATAGATGTACAGAAATAGACTCAATCCTATGTTCACTGTCCTGCTGCTGAAAATGCTAAGGAAAGGGGCCCCCAATGTGTATTAATCTGCAGCTGAAAGTAGTCCCCAGCAAATGCACGATTGACTCCTGTAATGTTTGTTGAGCTCAGTAGGAAGCAGTGGTATTGAGAGAGGGACGAACACATTGTTGGATTTGGTTTTCATTAGATTTGGTGATAATTTAATAATAAGGAATTAGCCTGAGAGCCTGGATTAAAATGCATTTGGTGTCTCAGACTGAGGTGGATCTCTTTGTGTTTATTGTTCCCTTAAGGTTGCAGAACCTCTGCCATCCACAGTGCGCAGTGGGAATCTGAGTGTTTTAAAGAAACGCTGGGAGCAGCAGCAGCAGCGGTCCGGCCACAGAACCCAATCTCAAACCACACCCTGCAACCCTGCTGACCCTGAGACCCACATCAGTCAGTCAACAGGCCCCAAACCTGCACCCAACTCACAGCTCGAGCACCAGCCCAACACTCTGAAAGCCACCAACCAGGAGCCGGAGACACAGGTTCACTCTGAGACCAGCTCCAACCGACCTGAGGTTCTGACCGACATGGAGCCCAGCAGAGATTCAGAGGGGCAGGAGGGAGCAGCAGCAGCTGAAGTACCTGAGTCGGAGAAGCCCAGCGTTCCCCTCAACAGCCTCAAGATGATGTTTGAGAAGGGAGAAAACCCGACCGACAAGGCAAGTCTCTTCTTTTTTCTTTAGGTTTTGTCCTCATCTTAATGTCATATGGAAACAAGAACAAGTACTTTCATCCAGGGGCGGATCGAGACGGGTGGGGTTTTTTTAAAAAAAAAAAAAAAGCCTGGCCACCTCAGTTTGTTTAAATTTAACACATTAAGATTACTTTTAAAAATAATGAAATTAATTGAATCATCTGTTATGGCCATGATTTAGACTCAGTGAGGCTTCAGTTCAATGAGAGACTGAACATTTCTGATTCCACCTTTTTAGATATTTCTATTTAGAGCTTTAATAATGTGCCACAATAATGTTTTTCACTTAATATTTTCATTTGAGGGCAAAAAAAATCATGTTTTTGATTGAAATCTTTGTACTACCTTCTGACCACCCATGAATATTACTCTAGCTCCGCCCCTGCTTTCATTAAAACTCATTAGTGTTCGACCGATATGGGTTTTTATAGGTTTTATGGGTCTATATTTAGATGCAGATGTTTTTCTTTTATAGTTTACTGGCTTTGTGAGCGCAGACATCAGCCAAAGCAGCTCAAAATGCCAGATAATCGTCCCGATGGATCGTCACTAGAACTGATCTTCAGTCTGACTTCTGATGGTCGCTGCGCCTCCATCTTGGGGGTCAAAAGTTAATGAGGCGTAAACTTTCTTTAGTTTCATCTCAAACAGAAAAAGGACCAAAGATCATTAGTTTCAGTTAAGATAAAAAAAAAAAGTTCTTGTTCTCAGAGGTCAGATCCCTGCAGTGCTGTCATGCTGCAAGTCACATGGTGCAGCCTCACTTCACCATCCTTCACCCCAACACACACACTCACACACACTCAGCTGACTTGCGCATCCTCCACTGGAGCCCGGCTTCAGGCTAATTGTTGTGTTGTGGAGCATAGAGAAGTTGAGGCGTTTAACGTCCAGTCATGCATCTGCTGGAGGCGTGTAAAATGTAAAGTGCTCATACTCGAAGTGTGACACGTTAACAACAGCCACGCTGTGTTTCCTCAACACAGAGCACCCATTTATGACAGGAAGAGAAGGCTTTAAGAGGCTTTAAGAAGCACACTGATGTTTCAGTATTCAGTGAGTTTAAAATGAACTGACCTCACAGATCCATTCATGTTAGATATGTTTTTGTACTTTGCACTCTGCTCTCTACTGTAAATAACTGATCAGACGGCACGGTGGCATTACGGCACGGTCATTAAAGCAGCTATAATCTTCATATTAACAATGGATCACATGATCACAAACTCATCAGCTCCACAGAGCGCTTTTGTGTCTATCAGCTCATTGTTTTGGCAACTTTACTGTAAGTTTGTTTTACTTTCATCGATCTTAATTTCCGGCTGTAGCAGGCAGCTGGTTTTTACCTGAACAGCACCAAACGGGCCTCAAGGGGGGGAAAACAGTGGAGCATTTAACAGGCAGAGAGGCAGATATTCCCCTCAGAAGTTGGTAGAAACAAACTAACTGAGCTAAAAGACGACGATTATTGAACTCTCATTCATCAGGTGGACAGAAACATGACTTCAGATAAATACTAATGTTGCTCTGTAACAAATAGATGTGTAAACAACACATTAATGTTTAACTTATTGGTTCCTACTGAAGACGTAAATGTTCCCAAATATGTCACAAAGATAACTTTTTAAAAGGCTTCCTAAAACAGCTGGACACTTTAGTCAAATTAAATGGTGATTTAATATGTTAATGATGTTTACAGCTTGTTTCTGCTGCCCCAAGAGGCTATAAAACCCCAGTTGATACAGGTTTAAGTCTGATATTCTCCAGGTTTTACTCCACTGAAGAGTGAATGCAAACAAACTCTTTGAATTCCCTTTTCTGGTTTGAGAATCGAGCCACTTCCCCGGGCAAACAGCCACTCCTCTGAGACGTTCTGCTCGTCCATTCCTGTAAATCTTCGTCTTATGAGCAAGAACAAGTCTGAACATCCATCACCAATCACACGTTGATCTTTTTAAAGCACAGGGGTGATGTGTTTTTATATTTTTCTTATTGTGGATCTGAGCCCCGAGGCCTGAAGATGTAAATCTGTATGTAGTTTCATTCTTTACAAAAGCTCAGCAAGTTCCTAAAACAACAAGATGCTGTAGTTCTTCTTAAAGGAACACTTTGAGTTCATCAAGTTAGAGGAGAAAATCAACACCACTCGCATGTCTGTACAATAAATATAAAGCTACATCCTGTGAGCTTAGCTTAGCTTATCATAAAGACTGAAAATGGTGACAAAATCCACCCAAAGCTCATTAACACGTCATATCTTGTTTGTTTTTAACTCGTATTAAAAGAATAAGTTTAAACAGCTGTTTCCAGTCTTATGCTAAGCTAACCGGCTGCTGTCTGTAGCTTTGTATTTACTGTACAGCAATGACAGAGGTGTCGATCTTTTTGTCTAAATGTCAACCTCAGTAATCCTGTAAGATGGACCTTTATTGATCCCTGGAGGGGAAATTCAGGTTTAGCAAACGTTCCTCAAACAGGAGTAAACTGTTGAACTACTTTCTGTGATTTAATGCACATTTAGAGGACTAGAAGGTATTTATAGCAGCAGGTTGAATATGTGGGACTGACTCCAAAACCTACAGTGTTCATGGTGATAAGCGTCACCTAGTGATGTGTTTTAATAGTTTTATTCAGTGGTGCTCAGGATGAACAGAAAATATTTGTTTTTAGGGTCATTGCTGGTTTTGAAACTTATCTTTTAACCCTGAGATAGTTTTTGAGATTTGATGGGATCCAGCACTAATAAAGGAGTGGTTCTTGGCAAAAGGAGACAGAAAATCTGCTATTCTAACAAAGACTTTGTTTTTCCACACTGACCTCCTATGTGGGCTTTTTTTTAAAGAAGTGAGATCAAGGAGTGCTACGGAGCGCTGGAGAGTGTTTTTATTGCAGCGGCGTTGTCTTAAAGGGGGAAATCCTGCAGCAGTGATACAGGATCTATATAGTTGAGTGCCTTCACAATGGCGTCCACTGTATAGCTGAAGCCTTCTGCTTCTCTTTTGTTGAGCTCCCTTTCACAGGGGCAGATGATGTAATGCAGGCTGGTAGGCTCATGACTGCAGACAGCTGATCTGCGCCTCTTCAGACCGTCTCCCCTCAGGCCATTAAAGCTCTCCTCCCCTCCCCTCCCCACCTCATCAATCATCCCTGTTGTCCACTTCCCTGCTCCTCAGCCCTCCGTCCATCTCCTCTCAACCCTCCCTCCCTCCCTCCTACACATCATCAAAGACCTCGACCTCCACTCCCTCCGTTTTCTCTCAGCCGTGCTTGCTCTGGGCTGTAGGGACTCGGTCCAGAGTCAAATATCTCAACAGTTGTGGTCCGCAGAGGATCAGAAAGACTTTGGTGATCTCCTGAGTTTCCCTCGAGCGCGTCCAAAAGGTTTACATCTGAGGGTCCGAGTAAAACGTCTACTTTGGATGGATTAGGTACACTTTTTTTTTTTTTTTTTTTTTTTTTTTTAAATGTGCCCTCAAGGATTAAGGAAGCTACTGTATACATCAGCAGATCATTTTTATGGCCAAGATCGGTTTACATTATCTCTATGTATGGAACACTTTCTGCAATGTGATTTAAAAACAAAGGATACAGTATCGCATTATAACAAACTTATCAAGAATCATATATTGTGATACTAAATCCAATATAGTTGAAAGTTCTTAATCGATAAATGACAAAACGAACCTCGTCTAATGCAGAATATAAAATGAAAAATGCTTTATACATAATGATCTATTTATTTAGTCCTGTTTCTAAATTTGCTGACATATAGCCTAAATAGTGAAATTATTCACATTTAAAGAATATTAAACTTAAAACATTCAATTAATAATAGTTATTGTTTAAGAAGGTCCCTCTTTTAGTCATATGGCTGCAAAATGATCAAACAGCTCAAGAATTTGCTATCAGTCCGTCATAGTGCAATAGTTAATTTTTTACCTCTAAAATCGTATCAATCTAAAAAAAAAATCAGTATTTCTAGTCAGCTCACTGAGCTCTTGTTTTCATTAAACTTTGCATCAATCATCCATTTTTATATCGTCAATACTTTAACGATCACATATCTACCCAAGACTGATCAGTGTTATGGTCCTCGTATTCCAGATAAACAATTAAAATATGTTGTGAACAGATTTAAGAGAGAAATGGTCAAACAACAGAATCTGGATCACAATCTGATCAGACACTGTTGACAGTTTTGATCTGAGTTGGGGCGTTGACTGGACGGACCATGAGAAATGAGCGTGTCAATCCACAAAGAACCCCGCCCTAAAAAGCATACCCTGCTTATGGTCGTTTGACTCTAAATGGGGCCATCAAGTTACTAAATGAAACATCATGCGGTATTGAAGAAGACTGAAACTAAGACTAACCAGAAAGCGCAGCGAGAGAAGAGAAGCGAGATGAGCGTTGCAGTAAATCAACTGAGAAGTCGACTAAATGCTTGATAAGGACTGAAGGGTTTTTGTATTCCATCCAGTTGCGCTCCCTGCTGGCTGTTACACAGGAATGCAGGTTAAACACACCTTCTTATACCCTGAAGCTCTGTTCGTTAATAAACGTAAAGATGCTAACACTCTGACAGGACAATGCTACTAAATAACCCCTCTCCTCCACAGAATGAGCACTCTGAAATTATTGAACCTCCACCGCAGCCTCCCACACACACAGCCCAAACCTATCCTCCCTTCTCCATCCTTTTCCTCCCCACCTCCCAAATCCACGCAGACCTCTCCTCCACCCTGTGCTTTACTCGTCATGGACCGGGTACACAGTAAAAAAACAAAACAAAAAACTCACACACAGATGGGTTTGGGGTTGGGGGGGGGGGTGAAGACCATGGCACACTTACCGATCCCACCCTTCATCCGGCCCCTTTTTGGAACACCCCTCGCTCCCCCTCAAACCCTTTGAACACCGCTCCCATGTCGCCTTCCTCTTCCCCACCCAGTCCTACGTCTCCCC